TCCTGTCACTACACGTCCTTGTAAGAAGTCTCTCTCCAGCTTTCCTCTAGGCCCCGTTCAGGCACTGGAAGGCCACCATGAGGTCTCCCTGGAGTCTGGCTGAACAACCACAACTCTCTCAGCCTGGCCTCACAGCAGAGAAGTTCCAGCTCTGAATTAGAGAAGGCCTGGAAGAGAAGACTCCTTCCTGGGCAAAGATCATCAGAGAACCAAACCAGCAAACAGCTTTAGGAGGAAATACTTCACCTGACCAAAGTGGTTCCTTACTAAATGCCATCTGTGCTGAGGTGAAAGCAAAGAGCAGGGGAAATTTAACCTTGCTGCACTATGTGGAACATTTAGGGAATCACCAGGAAGATATATTTAGGATTCCTTCAGTACTGTGCAGATTTCTGTGTGGTCAATAGAGAGCTTCAAAAGCTACACAAACTGCTTCACTGTGGTAGAACAGATTAAGCAGCAGCTAAAGAAATAATTTCCTTTTCAGGATTCAAGGAGAGGCTGCAGACACTTTCTACTGCATCAGAGATTTTTCAGTTTACTCAGATTAATGGGGGACAGTGCAATGCTAGTGTGAACACTAATTAGCATTCTTCTGGGTAATTTTTTCTGTGGTTTTACAGCTGGAAAACTAAAACCATAGTATGTATTTTGCAGAGGTCTATTTAACATGTGATTTTTTTGCTGTTGTGGTACCATATGGCCTCTTTAAACCTGGTCTGTTGAGTAGAAATTGTATTTGAAACATTCTTCATTGCTGCTAATATGCAGGTTTGTCCTTGACCGTCCTTGCTCTGTTCCAGTGGGACATTACTGGCTCTGGTGTTGGTCTGCTGTTTGTTACAGCTGCTGGAAAGGGTGTGCACTGCCTTGGCATGGCAAGGCTTGTAGGGCTGCAGGGGTGGCTCCTGTGAGGAGATGTCAGAAGCTGTCCCATGTCCAACAGGGCCAGTTCCAGACAGCTCCAAGGCAGACTCACTGCTGGCCCAAGCCCACCAGTGATGGTGCTGATGCCTCTGTGGTTAATGTATTGAAAAAGGGGCAAAAACTTCTGCAAGACAGCAGCAGGGGGAGAGGAGTGAGGAGAGGTGAAAAACCAGCCCTGCAGACACCCAGGTCAGTGAAGGACGAGGTTCTGGAGCAGAGGTTCCCCTGCAGCTCGTGGAGGACCCCACACTGGGGCAGGGGGCTGTGCCCAGGGAAGGCTGTGACACTGGGCAGAGCCTGTGGGTTCCTGGCCAGACCTGTGACCCTGTGGGGAGAGGGGCCTGAGCTACAGCAGCTCCTGGGGCAGGAGCAGTGGTGCCAAGGGAGACTCGGGCTGTAGCTGTCCCTTCCTGGGGGACTGTGCCACCTGAGAAGGACCCACACTGGAGGGGTTTGTGAAGGGCTGTGTCCCACGAGCAGGACCCCCCACTGGAGCACAGGAAGAGTGTGAGGAGGAAGGAGCAGCAGAGATAACTTGTGATGAACTGAACACAAGCTCCATTCCCTGTCCCCCTGCACTGCCTGGGGGGAGGTGGAGAAGTCAGGAGTGAGGTTGAGCCTGGGAAGGGAGAGGGGAGGGGAAGGTGTTTTTAGATTTGTTCTTATTTCTCATTATCCTACTCTGACTTGATTGACAAGAAATCAAATTAACTTCCCCAGGACAAGCCTGTTCTACTCATGTTGGTAAGTCCCTGGCCTTAGCTTGACTCATGGGCCTTTTCTCCTATTTTCTCCCCACTGTCCAGCTGAGGAGAGGGGAGATGGAGTGGTTTGGTGGTTTGGTGGGGACCTGTCAGCCAGCCAGGGTCAACCCATCCCAGTGCACTGTTATGATGGCCTGTTTTGAAGACACATACTCCAGCTGTACAGAACAGGACCCAAGGACTGCAGTGATCCTTTGGTCTTTCATTCCCATTCAAGCACCATCTCTTTCTCAGGTTTGACTTTTACACTGAACTGCAGATTTGCCCCTAGAATTTCTGGCTTTGAGCAACGACAGACTGTTTGCAGGGACAGGCCCTCATCCTTCACTCCTCTGTTCCATTATGGGTCCCGTGGCTCACACTGTTAAAATGGTGCTTTACATTCCCTTGGATGGCTTTGCAACCTTGATCATGGGGTCTTGCTTTAACTTTGACTGTCAGACCAAAAACTCCTGGGACGGGGGCAGCCTTCACTCTGTCTTGGTACTGCAGTCAGGTTTCCTTCAGCCTCCTCTTCAATGAATGGGAGATTTTATTTTCTACCCAGGAAATTCTAGTACTGTAGAATCCTCTGTGTGGTAGCCCCCTGCATGATCATACAGGAGGTTACTGTCCTGCTAGAAGCACTCGCCACCTGCTTTCATGGGACTCTCTTCCAAAACTGGAATCAGAATTTTCACTTTAATGAAAGTTAGCTCTTTGTAATGTCTCCTCTGGCACCCACAGCAGTGTGATATAGGAAGGCTCCTGCTATAGAACAGGTAACAGTCATCTTAGAATCACAGAATCTAAATGCGTTCCTAAATATAGGTTCTAAAAGTAGAACCTGAATAGGTTGGAAAAGATCTTTAAGATGATGAAGTCCAACCATTAACTGAACTCTGCCAAGTCCACTGCTAACCCGTGTCCCTCACACCACATCTACACAACCTGTAAACATGCCCAGGGATGGTTCAACCACTGTCCTGGGTACTCTGCTCCAGGGCTTGAAAACCCTTTCAGTGAAGAAATTTTTCCTAAAATCCAACCTAAACTGCCCCTGGTGCACTTTGAGGCCATTTTCTCTTCTCTGATCGCTTGTTACTTGTGAGATCCTTCTCTACAGGATTCAATAAACCTTGGAGCATTCCCACTTCTCAGCTTCTTGGCTCACCTGCTCAGAATTCTCACTTTCCCTTTAGTTCTGCAGTCTCCTCCTTCTTTCCTGACTCATCCTCTATTGTATTTAGATTGCACCAGATGCAAAGATGTTATCCCTTGGTGAGGATCTGGCTTTGAATTCTTAGGGCTTATGATGCTGAATTTAATTCAGTGCCTCCTCTTTTGTCATTAATATAATCCAATTTTTAGAAGATACCAAAAGACAACACATGATTTATAACAGCAGTTTTCCCTTTTGCAGGACTCACCTGCTGTGGATATCCTGTCCAGCACTCTCTGTGGTCCCACAGCCAAGGCTTCTGGAAAGAAAAGGCGACATGAATGTGAAAACATCAGAGGAATTCTTCTCCTATCTACTGCCAAACTCCTCTAGTTTGTTACTGCTACTGACTTTGTTGTATTTTATTACAGGTAGAGCTGGTCACGCTGTCTGGAATCCAGTTGCCAAGAGATTTCCACAACAGGAACTTGCAGTTGCTTGTGACCTTGCCAGTTTGTGGCTACTGTGCTGAAACTTCATCTGCTGTTTAGCCTAGTTCCAAATAAAATAGCTCAGGGGGATTTCTACCAACTTGCTGCAGCAGGTTTGGCAGGCTGGTGGTTACATTTTGAATATATTAGAACATTCTTACAACTATTTCATTAAGTATCTCTGTGGGTTGGACACCACTTAAGCATTGTAAAAAGGCTGAAAACTTGTGTGTCAGGAACATGTTTTTTCCTCTGTTGGTGAGGATCATGCTGCAGTCTGTGATGTAAGAACCTCTGGAAAGCTCCTTCTTTGGTCCCACTCCATAGGAAACTGTCAGTTTAGAAACTTTCATAGGAACATGGCACTCAAAGTCCCCCCAAATTCTTCCTGCACGGAGCCTTCTCAGAGCCCTCGCTGTGCCCAGGTTTGATCAGTGTGAGCATGCCCCAGGGCATACAGGGATGGAACATATGCTAAGCCAGGATCATTTTCTGTAACAACTCTACAAGGCTCCAGATACCAGAGCTAAGAGGCAACGTTCCTTGCACTGAGCCCCTGCCAGTGCAGGAGCAATCTGGAAGGGAAGCAGGCAGCACTGGGTTTTATGAGTAAATTGGCATAATGATGAGTAGACCCAGGCTCCTGAGGGCTCGGAGTGGGGTGAGGAGCAGATTTACAACAATTACAGGTACAGAACCAGGAGAGATGTGTGATACAGAATCAGAGGAAGACAAAGCAAAAACTCTGTGACAGCTCTGGCACATTGTGCTACCTGGACTAGACAGGAGAGCTCCAGGAGCCTGAATCTCATAGTTCCTCTACTCTCAGCACATCAGGCTGTCTTCTGGTGGCCTACTGTGAAGTAACTTTCCATTTCTACCTGCTGTTTCACTGACTCCTGGGGCAGAGGTTTTGGCCACCAGTCTGTAGCTACTAATACAGAATGTAAATGTTTGCTTTTTTTCTAAAGAAAGAAGGGCATCTCACAAAACCCAAGGCAAGTTAAAATACTACTCAGACTACAAAGTAAACATGCAAAAGCCAGGAAGTGTCACATGCAAATACACTCTGTCACATTAATTTTTTATCCTTTTTAACGTAGTTCTTTTGGTAGAATTTCAGATAACAGAATAACATGCTATTTGCTAGAGGATCTACTGCTGTTGTCCATAGGACAGATGCCTTCTTTTTTTCTTTTTTTCTTTCTTTTTTAAAAAAACCCTGGAAGATGTGTGCTGAATAAAGACAAGACTTTCATGAAAAGTGAACATGATCTACATTCCTAGGACAGTTGGATAACATGCAGAAGAACAGCATTTTGTCCTCCCACTGTTGCCACAAGGTTTTGTGCTATGCTAAGCAGGTCGTCCATACCAAACTGTCATAACTGGCCTCAAAGAACAGCCTTGGGTTTTGATGTACAGATCCACAAAGCACTGCAGCTGGGATTTAGATACCTTCACTCCCCTGCTAGCTCATCCTGGAATCCTCACACACCTGGAGAACCTTAAATTCTGACTTTAAAGTCAGTGTAAGTTCAGAAGTTCTTCACTTGTGAGAGCAGTGAGAAGTCACAAGCACAGCTCGTGTCTGCTGTCTTGGGATCTGCAGGTATTCCACGACTTAATCCCTCAGAAGGTGCCAGTGTGGAAGACTTCTGCAACACTCACCTAGGGAACTGGATTCAGCTAAAGTGCCAGGGGAGCATTTAAACACAGTCAGAGGACGGCTGGTGCCCAGGTCCCAGCTCAGAACTCATTAATTATCAAACCAGTGAAAAGGCAGAGGCACGGGCCTGAACCAGTCACACCTTGGGTGAGGTGTTAAGAAAATGAATAAATAAAAATATTAAACTGCAGCCCATGCTCCAAAGGTTTTTACCTTAAAGAGCTTGTTGGATACAACACACACACAGGCCCTGCAGCTTCCACTTCAGGTGAGTCTTCCATCTCCCACCCCCCAAAAACATATTTTTACACAACCCCAACTGTATTCTGCATTTCCAGCAGAAGAAGCCTCTTGGTTTCGAGCTGGAGTTTTAAAACTAAACATGGTCCCATATATCTGTGGCCTCCTAAGTTTGCTGTGCAGAGGCCACAGCGACCCGGGGGGAAACCTCTCTAGGAAGGTCTGGCAGGACGTGCTGAACAAGAGCTGCCATTGCTGCAGGCACTGGCTGGGCAGGACAGCAGGTGGCACTGCTCGTGTACTCACATCGTACAGCACAGCAAGTCCAGTGAAGAAAGAAATGATGTAAAACATGAACCTCCAGCTACAAACAAACAAAACAAAGCACGTTAGAATCCCACCCAGTAACGGCCGAGCTACAATTCTGTGCATCAGTCAGTCAAGAGTGGCACTGCTAAGGCAAAGACATGCACCAACCTGCTCAAAGTTTGCCCAGGCCACGGCAGGAGTGGCTCTTTGCACGTCACTGCCCTCCTGGGTGAGGAGCCAGTGAAGATCCCACTGCTTGCTGCTGCTGTTTACTGCACATCAGCTGAGGGCAGGGAGAACGGATCCCATCCTGGCAGAGGCAGGCTAAGCATGGTTGCTTTACAACTCCTTACCCACAGATTGTCTAAGTATTTCTAACTGCAGCTGTGGGGAATATTATAAATAAGCAAAACACATCCTTTTTTTTTCATTTTTTCTTTATCAAATAGGTTTATTAGGCAGGGGGTTTGAATAAGAAGTTGAGTGCTAAATGGAGCACGAGGTGACTTGCTGAAAGTTGATGCCTACTCTTTTTTTTGGAGACACACTTCTAGACAGAAGAATAGCACTGGAGGTACTTAACAATTTCTTTAATCTCTGTGGCCTTCCAGGGAGAAACTACTTCCTGCAGCTACACTTAAGTCTGGCATTTCAACAAAGCTCAGGAGAATCCTCCTTTTCTGTGCAAGCTTTGCCAGAACTAACACTCACAGGACTGGCTGATGGGGAGACTTATTTTGTGCCTCCACATAACACAGTGGATTTCCACACAGCTGTTTCCACACAAGCTTTCACATATTCCTCTTTTTCCTGCCACTATAAAAGAGTTTTGACTTTCAGGATGCTAAAAGTCAACTGACAACAGAATACAGTCTAGCCACTGCCAGGGACTTCTGAAAGCAACAGCCTGCAGAAGAGCTGCAGAACAGACAGAAGGAATCAGGCTGCAGGGAAGCGAAGGGAAGCCATGGGGCAGGCAGCAGAAAGGCTGGCTGACTGTCCTGGAGGCACTGGAACAGCAGCAAAGCAGCAAGAAGCAGTAAGATGCAAAACAGTAGGGAGATTTCCAGCTACAATTAGTGTTTCAAAGCAGAATGTCAGTCTCACAGTCAGAAACAGGGGCCCTATAAGGAAATACAGGAGAAAAGGAAATTTGGGAGTGGAAATAAAGTGGAAAATCAAGGAATGTTTTAGTAACAGAGAAGCAGCAGAGAGTTGAGAAGAACCAGGTGGGGCAGGGGAAGCCCAGGATGCTCTAAGCCCAGGGGTGGAGGGCAGGCAGGGAGGTGAAGCTGCCCAGGGAGCTCAGCTCCAGTGAAAGGTCCCACGAGCTCAGCTCATGGCTCCTGCTCCCACTCACCAGGCCTCAGAAAACTTCTTGGGCAGGCTGGGTCGGTCGGAGTTCCTGCGGCGCCGGAACCACCTCTGCACCTTCCTGAGGGGCAGCTGGCACTGCCTGGCCAGCCCCAGCAGCTGCCCCTGCAAAACCACAGCAGGCTCAGGCAGCTTCCACAGAGCTGTCTGCCCCTGGTGCACAGACCTCAGAGAGTGGCAAATCTTCCCATTCCCCCCACAAGCAACTGATGATTAATGCTAAATATGGAAACTTTACATTTTTTATGTGAACTTCCCCAGTCTCACCTTTCAAACTCCAGTCTCATCTCCTCAGAGGGGTCTGTTGTTGAATCACTTCCTCACCCTGTCTTGAGAGACTGAATCCCTTAAATCTGTCACTCCAAAAAAGATTTACTGCAGCTTAAATCATTTTTAAAGGTCTGCACTGAACCTTGTCCTGCCTTTCAGCATTCTAATGCAGTATCAGCCAATAACCTGACTGATGCCATGAGCAGAGTCAACACCACTTTCCTACTGGATATTCAGCTGTTGTGTTAAACCTGTTAGAGGTAATTTTTCAATGGATTACCCACAGAAATCCTGCAATCAGCTTCCTTCTTGTCCTCAGGCTCTTCAGAGTTTGGCACGTGATGTGAAAAAAAGTTTGTCATGTTTTGTATTGCTTCTGGAAGTGTCACCATGGATAGCTTTATTTTTTTAGTAAAGCAATAGTTTTTCATGGAATGCACCTTCTCACCTTAATACTACCTGGTGAGAATGACTCAGGTAGTCCAAGTATGCTGTACAAAAGTATGCCCATGACAAATTTTCAGATGCTTTTCTTCCCACTCATACTTAATGACTTCTGTTCTTGTGGTGGAGACAAATGGAGACACTGACTTATGTTCTACAGCTGCTCCATAATGAGGAATTTCTCTCACAGAGAAGGCTGCTGAGAACAGCAAAATCTCATCTTGTATTGGACAAGTAAAAGCTGAGTCACAAGCAGTGCTTGAGAGCTCAGGGGAGAGGGAGGGAGCTCAGAGGCTGGCTGAGGTGTAAGCAGTGCACAGGCAGGAGCCAGCTGCCCCGTTCCTGCTCCACACCACACTGCTGTCAGGAGCCTTGGGGTGGGACATGCTCTGGAATCACAGATCCTCTGGGATAAAAGTGCCAGCTTCAGTGCAGCGGGGGTGCAGGGAGAGCTGTGGGGAAAAGCTGCTTGCAAAACTAGGCCTTGAGTGAGACCTCTGCAACAGGAGTGGCTGCAGATTCCACAGGCAGACAGGCAAGGGGAAGGTCAGGGACCACCACAATGGCAAGTGTTCCAGGAAACTCCATCCCACTGCTGGGGAGAAAAGTGGGCTGCACAACCCCAGGGAGTGCCTGCATCTTCACTTTGGCCTCCATTCTTTCACTTTGAACCCAGCACTGAATGACCTGGGGCTCCACATGCCCCACTGCAGAACAAACCATGCTGCAACAGCCTTGCCAAGGCAACACCATACTCATGCTAGGACCAGCCCTTGGGACTGGAACCCCAGCCCCCTGCTCACACATCCACTGCTTCAAGGCCAAGAAAGCCTGCAGAAAGGAGCTGAGAGAAAATCTGATTCCTTTTCCTACCACAGGGTCACATCCAGGGACTTCACTGATAAGGTTAAATCCTGACTATTCACCATCCTGCCCACACTTCCTCCCTTAGCAGCAGCCATTATAACTCTGGATTATCCTGCCAAATTCTTCAAGATGACTCTTTTTATCTCTCATGGGAAAACTACCCACCATTTGCATTTGCAGCTTTCTGATGCTCCTCATATTCTCTGTGATGATGGCCAAGACTGCAGACAGCTCCTGAGAGGCCAACCTTAAACTCATGGATTGCACAGCAACAGAATGACCCACCCCAGAACTAGGGCCATCAAGGAATCCACACTGCTGAGCTGCAGGGACTAGCAACATGGGAGGTGGCTCAGGACAGCTGATGTAACATGGATTTGTTCATATGTGAAAATAAACCATTACAGGAACACAGAATGGGTGGGGCTGGAAGGGGCCTCTGGAGAACATCTGTTGCTGACTCCCCTGGCCACCTAGGGCTGGCTGCCCAGTACCATGTCCAGCTGGCTTTTGAGTATCCCCAGGGAAGGAGACCCCAGAACATCTCTGGGCAACCTGTCCCAGTGCCTGGTCACCCTAACAGCAAGAAAGTGTTTCCTGAGGTTCAGACAGAGCCTCCTGTGTTTCAATTTGTGCAACTCAAGGCAAACACAGGAAGAAACAGGAGTTGTTATTATTTCCTTTGGGAGAACTGTTTCATGTCCATAGAAGTTTGGGATTGAAATCTTTTAATTGCTACCTGCAGAAAGCTGCTACTCCCACACCTTCAGAAGCAGAATGGAGAGCTGGTGGAATCTGCACCCTGTGGCTGGCTGGTCTCAGGTGGCCAGTGCTACTGTGGTTCCTGCTTCCAAATATGAGTGGCATTACCAAACTCAAATAAAACACGATTTTCTTTGGGTAGTGACACGAGGGCTAAATCCAGAGGAAAGCAAAGGAAGAAGGGACTCACCTCTTCAGGGTTCTTGCAGCATGTACTGTAGAATGTTTCCAGCACGGGGTTGGGCTCAGCTTTTGGCCTGTGCTTGTCTGTCACACCCAGTTTGCTGCTGAGGGGCAGGGCTATGGCTCTGCAAAAGAAAAGATAAACGTCCAGCCAAAAATAGAACTATAGAACAAAACTGAACAAAAATAGAACAGTGACTTCTGATATGGCAGCACCCTTGAAACATAACGGCTGCCTCCCACGTCCTGAACTGCAGCACAAGTGTCATGTCGAGCTAAAAAGATAGATAAAGAAACTGAGAAGTTAGAAACCCCAAACCTTCCAGCAGAAACAGTGGGACTTGTATTCTGCTGTCCTGAGGTCTGCACTGGACAAAGTTACACGAGGTTAATGCAGCAGAAATGTCCTGCTGGGACAGGAGAGCACCTGGCCTTCACTGGGGTACCTAACCCCTGTTTTTCCTAATGTCAGTCAAACCCTGGCTCTGAAATAAGGACACAGCAACTCCAAAGCCAGTCACACGTATGCTAGCTGTGCATCTTCAGCCTTTCAAGGCCAACTGTATCCTGGGATGCATCAAGCTGGAGCATCTTTGCTCTGAGGACAGGCTGAGGGCACTGGGGTTGTTCAGCCTGGAGAAGAGAAGACTTTGGGGGGACCTTAGAACTGGAAGGCTGGGGAGGGACTTGTCACAGGAGTGTCCAGTGACAGTGCAAGGGAAAATGGTTTTAACCTGAATGGTTTAGACTAGATCATAGGAAGAAGTTTTGCAGTAGGAGGGTGGTGAGACTCTGGACTGGATTGCCCAGAGAGCTGTGGATGCCCCTCCCTGGAGGTGTTCAAGGCCAGGCTGGATGGGGCCTTGAGCAACCTGGTCTGGTTGAGAGGGGCTCCTGCCCATGGCAGGGAGGTTGGATGAGATGATGTCTGGGGTCTCTTCAAACCTAAGGCATTATATGAACTGGAAAAAAGTTACCATGAGGTAACAGAACTGGGCATAGAATCACTGAGCTCAACAATTCAACTGCTCCACCACACTCCTCTCTCCCTTGGCAACTGGAAACAGCCTCAGGAGGGTGTGAAGTGAGCTCCTGCACAGACACTGCCCAAACAGCAAACCTGCAAATCAACACTTAAAAATGTCCCAAATTAACTGCATTCTTCTTGAATTTTTTGAGAGTTAGCTCTTCCTCATTAATCACAACCTTTTACACACTGCCACTGCCATGGAGTTAGTCTCACCAGCAAAAAGAGCAGAGCATCAGCCTAGGAGAACTCTCCAAGACCGCTGTCGAACATCCAACACACAACATCTCTGGAAAACTCCATCCCTTCATTGTGGAGTAAAAAGTTTTTGCTCTAGGATGCTAACAGCTTCCCTGAACTGGGTAAACTGGTGTTGATGGTGGATGGAGGAGGCAAGGCCTGGCTGCTCTGCCTGGTCAGGCCTCACCCTGCCCAGGCAGCACCTCTCACCAGTCACCCCTAATGATTCAGACACACAACAAGATCTTTTTTCACTTTGCAGCAAAAAAACTATGGGAGCTACTTCACTACAGAGGTGTTTAAAGATGTTTTACTTAAGAATAGTGTGGGACATAGTTCTGATTGTGGTTTTATGGTGTGGTTACCTGTGGTCTCTTCCAGCCACACAGTCCATGTGCACATGTGCTTGGGGACTATGACAGATCCAGAAGGGTCTTTTGGCAGTCTTCTTTTCAAGAACCCACTTCCTAATTTAATTAAGAGGTATCAAAAGCAATGCTATAAACAGACTGCCTACCTCAGGAATATTGTAACTTCCATTTCCTTAAAGCATAAAACATGGGATGGTTTCACATTTTGCTCACTCATCTAACTGCTGTTTTCCACCTGTCTTGCACAGCCAGCCCACCAACCTGTGGCTGTTCATCATCTCTGCCAAATTCCTCTGGCATCACTGGCTACAGGAACATCCAAAGATGTACCAAGACCAATGAAAAAGATACGTTCCTACTATGAGAGATGGGGTAAGGGTGCTTGCTAGTTCCTTTCCAACAAGACACAGTTATTGCAATAGCTTTGTGTAAGTGTTCATAGAATCCTAGGATGTATTGGGCTGGAACGGACCTCCAAAGCTCATCTAGTCCAACCCCCCTGCCATAAGCAGGGACATCTCCAGCTAGGTCAAGCTGCTCAGAGCCTCATCCAGACTGACCTTGACTGTCCCCAGGGATGGGGCCTCCACCACCTCTCTGGGCAACCTATTCCAGTGGTCTGTCACCCTCATATTAAAGAACTTTTTCCTAACATCTAACCTAAATCTGCCCTTTTCTAGCTCAAATCCATCACCCCTCGTCCTGTCACTCCAAACCCTTGTGAACAGTCCCTCCCCTGCTCTCCTGTAGCCCCTCTCAGGGACTGGAAGGTCACTGTAAGGTCCCCCCAGAGCCTCCTCTGCTCCAGGCTGAACAGCCCCAACTCCCTCAGCCTGTCCCCACAGCAGAGCTGCTCCAGCCCTCTCAACATTCCTGTGGCTAACTGTTGATTAGTGTTGGTGAAATTCAGCAGCACCCTGGCATTGCCACAACCAGCAGGCTGCTGGATAGCAGCAGAATTCACTGGGAATTTGGGGTTTATTAAATGATACTGGACCAGCAGGTCTTGTGCTGAGAACAATGACACTGTACTTCAGTGATACCCATAACGATACCACAACTGGGAAAACATCTGCCTTAGGCTCTTCACTGGGTCTTGGGTTTTCTATTAAGAGATCTTATAAGTTATTAAGAGTTACATTAAGGTTCTTATTCTTGAAGTGGGCCTGATCTTTCCTTTTTAAAGGTAAGTTATTTGATACAAAACCCTCTGAAGAGGAAGATGTAATCAAAGTTCTGTTGTTGAAGAAGAACCTTTCTGCAGCTTCTTAGTCCACAAGAGGAACTTAAAGGTCTGAAATTTTCAGATACATTAAAAGGAAGGAGAATGTTTCTGCCAGGTGTCAGGGCAGCTTGCCAACAAGGTTTTTACTGAAAAAGCTATTTTAATTATCCCGATTTCCTCATTTTGTTTAATTCCTGTCTTCTCTCTCTCTCTTTCCTGATGGTTTGCTACAGTCATGGCAAAGAATCTTCCTGTAACAGAAACAAGTCAGCTGTAGCCAGCGAGGACAAGGTGTAATTAACCCAAGCTACAATTACCTTGTTATTAAGGTTTTCAGTTTAACCATGAATTATGGGACCAATCCTACTTTTACGAACATCATTGGGAAACCAAAGCCTGAAACTCTCCCTAAGGGCTGTCTGTACATGCTGGATGTGCACCCTGACTGCAGCTGCCAGTTAAATCTTGTTCCAAGCACAGCCCTGAGAGGATGATGCTCGTACTGATTTCCACACCAGAGAGTCACCCCCTCAGCTGCAGGGCTGGTCTCATCGTGGCAGTTGATCAGCACTCCAGAAGACAGAAGCAGAAAGTCTGAGGACTAAACTGGACCACTCCCCACAGCCAGACAAGGCAGGACACAGGCAGGGAGATGATCCCCATCTCAAGCTGGCTTCTCCATCAGCGAGCTTCTCTCACTGCACAGTTTACATGGGAAAGTTCACACCACGGCATTTTATTCAGCAATAACCACAAAAGCCTCGTGCAAAATCTGCTGAAGTTGAAACTAAATAGATTAATTGTGAAGGGCCATAAACTGGTACTGCCCCACCTTGCATGAGTGGGCTGCACACATCCTGCAGAGGCTGTCAGAGGTCACCTGAGAGACAAGAAATAATTTCATTTTGGGGAGAGCAGGCTGTGGTTTTCTTTTTTCTCCCACAAATATTTTTAAATTTATAAGGATGCCACTCTGCAAATATCTTCTAGTACTAAGACATGCAGAACCAGTGAAAGCAGCAGCTAGAACCCCTGTTCTTTGAAGTGCACAACTTCTTCTAGCCTCAGGCTTTCCTCTGGCAGAGGGCTGCCCCTGTGCTGCTGCAGGCCTCTGCCTTTTCTTGCTCACAGCAGAATGCTTCACATCAGCTGCTCCATTTGATACAAGACTTCAGGTCGCTACAGTGCTACTGTCTGAACTGAGCCAACTCTGTTCACAGATTTCAGTTAAATACTACAACGTGTCCCACATCTCTGCAAAAACCCTGCATATAGGACCTAACAGGGAGCTGGCTTTAGATCATTACTGGGCAACAACAAAACTCTCTGGGCAAAATGAATTCAAAAAGATACATTTCAAAATAAAATACTTGAAAAGGGTGTCCTATTTTTCTTCTGGCTGATTTCAAGCACCTGCTCCCTGCAGATCAACAGCATCCCTTTCCTTCAGTGTCCAACACATGGCCCAGGTACTGCTGCAGCCCTGCTAAGAAAAGATCTAATCTGACTGAAACCTTCCTCTAGTGCAATCTGGTAACTATTTGGATTCAAATTCATGTCATTGGCTTTCAGTTCCCCAGAATCCAAAAATCACGAGTCAAGTGCAAAATCAGATGATTAATTGTATGGAAATTCTGTTTTTCAACTTTCTGCCCCAGTATCTCTCACAGCACTTCAGTTCCAGTCTCCCACCCAGGCAGGCAGGGAACACTTGCAATAGAGGGTGCAAGTCCTTCGTAACCATAGCACTCCAAGAATTGGATTTTCACAGGAAAAGGTCTCAAACACTATAGAACTAGAAGAGAAGCTGACATCCCTGCTTGAGGCATGTGTCCAGGGAAGAGTTCTGCTAAGGTATGTGGGTAATTAAAATCGGGCTCCAAGCTGTGGGTGCAGGACCTACCTCCTACCCACAAGCACAACCTGGAAGCACCAAGGGAAGGGGAGAGGTTCCCAGCTCCCAGCTCCTCTCTCCTGTCAGGACATCACTAACAGCTGCCCCCAGCACCCACCTCAGGACTGTGGCCCAGCCCAGCAGCACTGCAGCAGGGACAAGCTTTCTGCTCTCCAGCACTGGCTGCCCCATTTCCCACCCTCCCTACAGGCAGCTGGCTCACAGAGGTTGCCTCACTGAGGCTGAGCTGTTTCACCTCCCCCAGGGCTGCACCCACAATCTCCTTGGCTCTCCCAGGCCTCACCCAGGTACCACATGTTCTTTTCCCACAGCCACCATCTAATTCACAGAATAACTGGTTGGTCAAAGGATGTTGCTGTCTCAGTTTTTCCCAGTCCAGCCTGCAGGCACCAAGGAGAGGACAATTCATGCTCAAGGAAGTGGGGTCCTTCCCAGGTTTAACCTCCAAACCAAGAAGATGGAACCACTGGCCCAAGCAGGGTGGCTGACACAGCTGCTGAATGAGGGATTATGGAAAATCCTCTAGGCTTCTCCTGCCTCTTAGTATTTCCCTGGAGTTCTGACACAGATGAGTGACACGAAGACATCACAGTGTTTCAGAAACCTCCCAGCAGGAACACAAGGCCTGTCTAGAGAGAAAAACCACTCTGCACCCAATGCACAGTTCCACGTAACAGCTGCATGTAGAATAAACTGCCAGGGCCAAGCTGAAGCCACCAAACCCAAACTTGAATACTAGTTACATTTTGAGCCACCTCTGTGAGAGGGACAAAGCTACAAAGTCAGGGACAATGGAGAGTGAGAAACAACACACATACCATTCCAGCCTGCTATTCTCAGATTTTGAGCAAGTTATTTTAAACAGGGCCAGCACCACTGCAGACACAAGGTAAAGGAGCAACAGAGGACTTGATCCATACCTCCTACTGACAAGGGGAAGCTTTCTTCTCCAAGATGAACCAACCATGAAACAGTCATGACAGAGAATGAGAAAATATCATGCTGAAATAAATGACTGTAGAGAGTTAGGAGAAACAAGAGCACAGCTCAGAGCACTGGCTTGTAATTGGCATTTGAGGTAAGATAGTGGTGTGATTATAGGCTTCCTGGGCCTGTAAAATAGGCTTGTGATATTATCTTTTTTTAAGGGTGTGACAAGAAGCTTTTATTAATGAAGTTTGTGAATCAAAACAGCTTTAAAATTAATGAGCAGGTCCAGGGCTGCGGAAACTCTCCCAGCTGAGGCAGCACTTGGATGGGAAAGAAAAAAAATCTTTTTATCTGGCCATTGTCATCTTAATGTAGATGGAAAAGATGTTTAGATTTACTAGGAGCAGAGTGGCAGGAGGGAGGGGGAAAAAAGAGACAGTCACAGAAGCCATGAAACAATGCTGAGAGGGACCTCAGGAGATCCTCCAGCCCAGCCCTGCTGCTCAAGCAGGGTCAGCCACAGCAGGCTGGGTTTGGGGTATCTCCACAGATGGAGACTCCTCTCCCACTCTAACCTCTGCCAGTGTCTGGCCACCCTCAGGGGGGAAGATGTTTTCTCATTTTCAGATGAGTACCACGAGTTTCTGCTTGTGCTCACTGCCTCTTGTCCTGCCAGTAGGCATGATGAGAAGAGTTTGGCTCCTCCTTCTTCCTGTTCACACCTGTACTGGGGAGCCTAGAACTGGCCAGTCCTGGTCAGTGCAGGACACAAGGACTACCCCAGCTCCAAAGGGCAGACGTGCCCGACAGGCAGTGCCCACCTAAGGAGCACTGTACCCAGCCACCACCTGCAGACCAGCAGGGAAGCAACGTGAGTCCCCTGTGCTCAATGCCAGCTCCAGCACTGTGCTGCCCACGTCAGCAGAGGCAACCAAGACACTCATGTCCCCAGGAAGGTGCAGAATAAGACCCATGGAATTTATGGAATGCACACTAAACATACTGTTCACAAAGATGAGACTTGGGACTCCAATTTTGTACCATCATAAAATGATTATTTTAAGAATTATTCACATATTTGGTTTTAATAAAAAACTCCAAATTACAGCCAGTATTCAGAATCATTCAACTTCTATAAGCTTTTCCAAGTTGTCTTTCCATCACAGGGAATCTGGAGGAGAAACACCTACCTAGCCTACAGAGAGGTTAGTTTGTTTTCTTGTGCAGATACTTTTCAAAAAAGGATGATAGAAACATTTTTAAAATCATCTTTTTTTCCCCCTCTTTCTAAACCTAAAACCACCATGTATTTTGACTAAACTATTTCAGAAGAATACCTCTTCAGACAGCTGGTTGGAATAGTGATTTTTGAATCCAGTGAAAACCACTTTAAAGAGTATCCAAAAGCATGAAGGGGACTTCTCTGCAGTCCTGATGCTGGCTGACACTATGGTCAGTCCCAGCCATCCACCAGCAAATCCTGCTGTGCTGCAGACCACACCAACCATTGCCTAAACCCCATGAAGCACCAGCATCAGCTCAGGACCTTTATGAAACTCAGAGACACTGAACTCTGCAGGATTTCTAGCTATACCTTTCCTATAACCTCCAGATTTTCTTTACTGAAGTGTAATGTGAAAAACAGTCAAATGGCTTTGGCCAGAAAGATCCCAGAGCCAAAGTAACTTCCCGTGCTGACCCTGGAAGATTATATCACAGAGTCTACAAAAGGCAGCAACAACAGCAAGTCTAGCAGCAGAAGAAGAGGAGAAGAAATTCTGAAAGCCCAGCACTGGCAGGGTCTGTAGCAGGCTTCAGTGCAGAGGCAGTAGCTGCAAACTCCTCCACATGGCACTCATGAGAGAATGACACCCCTGGGCCAGTGGAACACACACATCTGAGACTGTGCCATGCTGATGCTGAGATCAGATGACAGCCCAACCAAGGTGCATCTTATCCAGGCCTGTCTGTCAGGTGTGATACCCCAGATCCCCATTACCCACAAAAAAGGAGACCTAAGTGTCCTTCAGTAGCCAAAACATGATTTCCACTGCACTTGTCCCAGCAACAGCAGGCAATGTGTGACAGAACACAAACCAGCATCTCTGCCTTCAAAACCAGAAGCACAAACCTCCCCTAGGGTCTGCCAGGTTGAAGTGCAGGGAGTCAGACTGGTTATCACCAGACCCTGAGGGCAGGATCTGGGTTCTATACTGGCCAGCATACAGGGCTGGAGAGAGGGAGGTGCAAAGTGAACCTCAGCAGACTTCATGACCTGTAGTTTCTGTGGATCTCTTCAGTCACACATTGGGCAAAATTTGGGACCCAAACTGCTGACACTATCTCTAAAAACCCCAAACAGGACTAAACAACTTACCTTTCAAAGCCACATCGAATGACAACCAAGAGTAAAGCAAAAGGGATGCTGAGCAGGAGATCACGAGGCTTGGGGTAACGGACATCCTCAGACTCCTGCATGTCCTCCCAGGTGATTCCTGGGGGCAGCCAGAACTCGTGCTGCCACAGCCACTCGTAGAGGGAGCGTGCCATCCTGCAGGGAAAGGAGACAGCACAACCTGAGGACAGGCTCACACAGCACACCTGCCAGCACAAGCCAGCCAGGCCAGGGCAGGATTACACCCTCTCTGAGGCTGCAGAGGAGGGGTGGAACACAACAGTGCCGAAGGAGCTGACAATCTGCTCGCAGGTCGACGTCAGGTACCTGGTGACTGCAGAGAACCAAAGAGCAGCTCAAACCAGAGCCTCAGAACCCAACGGGACATTAGTATCATTCTCAGCAAGATGTACCTGAAAGTTTTAACTTTAATACTGCAGCTTCTCAGGTTCCCTTCTACAGGACTGGTAGCGTGGCATCATGAGGCTGAGGGTGTGGCAAGGCTGCTCCAGGGCTGGCTGCCAGCTGGCCAAAAACTCAGCTGTACATATGCTTATTTTGCAGTCTTTGAGTTTTTGTATCCTTTTGTTCCCATTTGCACATTGCAATTCCACCACATGCATGTGTGAGTGTGCCTGCATTGTAACTAATACCATTCTGAGATTTCACCTTTAGAAAATAAAAATTAAAAAAAAATCTATCTTCTGCTTTAATTAAGGGAAGTACTTCCACGTAGGAATTTCTGTGGTAACTGTAAGCTGCATTCTTAATGTGATGTTTAAGACCTTGCCTGAAGGTGGGATTTACATACATGATCAGAGAATTTGCCAGATAAAAGGCAGTGGAATGGGTGTAACTAAGCATTCCGTATGAAAATGCTGTTGCTAGATAGTTCTGCCTCTCACACAGGTAAGAGCTGCACTGCCCTCCAACATGGGCTGCTCTTCTAGCTGGTAACAACACACATCCCAAACACAAGCTCTGAAGAGAAGCCAAGGAGAAGGAAAAGCAAAGCATGGGAATGAGATCCCACTGAGATAATCTGAACAGCACCTGGGAAATGCCATCTCACAAAAGGAAGGGAAAAAGCATAGAATTTAAGTGTCTGGCCTGAGCATCATGAAGCACCTCACCCAGTGGAGGCTCAAATCTTGGCCCATTTTCTGCAAGAACTGCCCATCAAATCAAAAATGGACCATACATCTGATTTTGGAGATATCTTGAGTTCAGAAGTAGTTTTGTTGTTAGTTAAACTGAACATCTCCCTTATTCCAGATGTTTGTAGAGTCTGATAGATATCATCTGAATCATAATCTCTTTTCTTGATTTGGACTTTATTATTCATCTCCATGCATGTGATCTGACTACAGCAGGGAAGAACAGGACCCTAACTTCAGATTTGACTCTCACTTATCCTGGAGCAGGCAGGGCCCATTCAGTATTGACAAACATGTGTGTAACTAATACCAAGTGGATGCAAACCTTCTGACTACCTAAGATATATAAAGCAGGAAAACTCTCCCTTCCCCCCCACCCAGGGAAAACCATCTCACTACAAACACATTCTTCTCCTCCTCCCTGCATTCCCTGATTTCAGCTTTAGATACCAAAACCCACAAGGTAAAAATACCTCCTAAAAATCACGAGCCTGATCTATTGCAGAACTGCAGTCAGAGGAAATGGCAGTGAGGCTGACTTCACCAGCACCAAACAGAACATCCCCACCTTTCACCAGCTTTCAGTTTGACAGTAATCACAGCATTCTCCTTCTGGTGCAGCTTCTGGGACTCTGAATGTTGCAGTTTTGCTCCCACTTCCAGGCTGTTCTCCATTCCTTCTGCTAACTCTCCTTCCAGTGCAACATCTGGACAAAAACCACTGGCACATAAAAAGAAGATAAACAGGGTTCTACAGACTCTTCAAATTCTGTTTTAAGAGCCAGACAATCCAGATGTAACATTTTTTAAGTCACCTGCTGTCTTGAGTCTCTACAACTCTCTGAGACCTAGAGACCTAACTTCCCCCATCAAGGGTACTTTAAGGTGGGAACCACTGTCAGCCCCTGTTCTTCTGGCAGGGCTGTAGATCCTTCAGCACTGGTTCCCTTCCTGTCTTCCCTTTGGTGATTCAGCAGAAGCACCTGAAGCCAGGAGCATGGGAGAGTGGTGACAGGGCTTTAAAAAGAGAGAAGCTGTCTGAAGTACACATAGAATCACAGACTGGTTTGTGTTGGATGGGACCTTTAAAAGCCACCTTGTCCAGCCCCCTGCAGGGAGCAGGGACATCCCCAACTAGAGCAGGGTGCTCAGAGCCCCGGCCAACCTCACCTGGGATGGTTCCAGGGATGGGGCAGCGACCACCTCTCTGGGCAGCCTGGGCCAGGGGCTCACCACCCTCAGCATCAAAAATGTCTTCCTCTTAGTCTAAATTTCCCATCTTTTAGTTTAAAACCATCACCTCTTGTCATATTGCAACAGGCCCTGCTAAAAAGATTGTCCCCATCTTTCTTATAGGCCCCCTTGAAGTACTGGAAGGCCTCAGGAAGGTCTCTGGAGCCTGCTCTTCTCCAGGCTGCAGAACACCAATTCTCTCGTACAGAGATACTAGAGAAAGCTTTTCAGACTACTCAGTAAACATGCCATTAAGTACAGCTTCATTTGGGTGACAGAGACAGAAGCCCACGGGACAGGCTGGTGATGGTGCTGAACCTCAGAGCCCCAGTGAACCATGTCTTCATGGTGCTCCCAAGCCTCCTGTAGACTCTCTGAACACAGGTATCTGCACACAACTCTGCAGTTACAGAGCAAGCTGTGTGACCATGGGCTTAGCCTACGATGAATCCGACATACTGTCACTAAGAGGTGTGGTGAGAGGGCTCCAAAGCAGGGAGCCAGCCAGACACCAGCTTAGAAAACCTGAGAGAGGTGTCTGAATTACAAACAGCTTCCCAAGGCACGAGAGATGCCAGCCTGAGAAGTGCTGGTGTACTTCCTGTACTGCTACATCTCAGCTCTAGTGAGGAAAAGCACCAGGTCACCAGGAATACCCAGGAGAGCTAAATCACAGCTCCTCCCTGCCTCAGCCCAGGCGCAGCCAGCAGGCACCCAGGGAAAGCTGCTGCAGGGGCCAGCTTGGCCATGGCACCACCACACCTCCTCCCTCCAGAACTCCAGATATCTGGTGGCAATGCAAAAAGAGGGACCAGTGGCTGGGTGGAGGACAGCAGCTGAACTCTGGACCAAGGGCTCTCTGGGGGGACAATAAGAACACAGAATATTCTTAGATTCAGAGTGCTGAGGAAGTACACAGCCATTGTCTAATCTACTTCCTTGTGAAAACTATATACAGTCAGGATCACCTTCCTGGAGACACAGCCATTGTCTAATCTACTTCCATGTGAAAACTATTATATACAGTCAGGATCACCTTCCTGGAAGGTTCCTTTTCTCTGCAGCTATCTTTACACATCACATAGAAAATGGTATGCTATGAAGCAACATATTCCACTTCTGCAGCTTACACAGGCTGAGTTTCCAAGTCGAAGCCACTGGAAAGCTGAAGACAATGGTGTGTCCAAAACGTTCTCTGAGCACTGAAGTGCTGGGGTTAAACCCCCAGCCCTGACAGAGGGTTGGCAGATGGATGATGTCCACAACCAGGCAAGAAGGATCCTCCTGATGGGTTTTCACCCAGGGTCTAGCCAGCCTTCGGTGGGAACTGCT